AGTACCTAATATCACAGCAATGGATACATCCTTACTGGAGAATCTACCACCAGCCAGTGTTCCAACAGTATCATTCACCTTTCATCAACAAGTAACTCAAAATCAAATTTTTACAACTAAGCTAGGTAATATACATAAGATTTATTTTTAAAAACAACCTTCAAAATGAATGATATTACTGAGCGGCATTAAGCAAACTTACCAGCGCCGACACCCTCATATCAATTCCTTTTCTTTGCATGGCTTTTGTCAGTTCTGCAACAACATCTTGTCCAACCTGTCACCCAGTAACAATGAGAGCTTATTTTTTTCACTTCATTAAATCTAATACGAAAAAATTTAATCTAACCATATAATTATAATAGATAACCTTAGTTGTTATAGTGATTTTGATATCAACTGATGCAACTTGCTTGAATTAACTTATTAAATTGCAAACAACGTGAGTACCGTCAAACAGTAAATTATCTTCAATGATTTTCATAACAGAAAAAGAATCGGGGAAGCGTAGTTGATGACATGCTAGCTCATTACATCCATCAACCAAAAGAAAGATTAAGATTTCCAAAACCAAATATCTAGAACAGGGAAAAGCATGAGTTTCTCAATCTGAAACTACCTTAAAGTTGTATTTCTGACAAATCAAACTTTAGTTTCAGATTAAACACAAAATACATGAATGGAAAAGTAAATCAGCAGGCTGCATCAAATCGAAGCTAGAAAAACCCATTCGATTAATATGTCTAAAAGAACTAGCAAAAAGTCCATTGTAATCAGTTGAAAGAAACATGAGCAAGCTGCAGAGCGGATAGTTAGAACCACATCTAGGAACAAGAAACTTCATTTTAATTTGCACAGTTGCCTCCAGAAAACAACAAAAAATATGGAGTTGCGAGGGAAATGGATACCGTGTCATCAATGGAGAAACCTTTCGTCCACCTGATAAGAGTTCCAGAATTGATTGAAGTCTGCATGATTGGGAATGAGAAAGTGAAACCGAGTTCCCTCTGCTTACCAGGAGGTTGATGAAATTTTTCTTCTTCTTCAGCAACAAATTTTGCAAGTTCTGCCGCAATGTAGTCAAAAAGTGCCTGAAATCATATGGACTTCAAACGATCAAAAGCCATGAGGAGCTAAACAATAGAAAAGGGTGCAAAAATTAAGAGGTCAAAATACTTACTTCTGAAGTCCCAACCATCAAATTTGGAGGAATTGATGCCTCCGCAAATTCTTGATGGACAATACCACCATCCTTCCCCCCCAATTGCACCCGCAATACTCGAAAATTTGTTCCACCAAGATCCAATGCATAAAAGACTCCTTCTTCATCGCTAAAACAAAATTTATCAAAGAAACAAACATTAATATATTTTCCTTTTACCGAGGATATAGTAACCATTATACAGAATATAATTAAATCTCTCCTCACTGCAAGCAATGCTGAAAGTTATTCCTTATAAAAATTAGATGTACTTAAAGAGGAGGGGGATGAAGCTGCAATGCATTGATCATAACATCATAAAGAAATTTACTTTGACCACATGTTCGTAAGAGAATTCATTTGACACGAAATTGACTCGGGAATACGACCAGAACAAGGTCATGAGCACTGGAGTACCAAACTACACGCTGCACCTTCTGATGTATGGAACTTAGCTTTCTGAACATTGTTCTAGATTAAGTAGCTAATTAGAGCACAGCGAATATGTTAAGTAAGAAAGAAACAAGAACAGCAAAGGATCTTGTGAATGTTGCAATGCAAATTTAGGGAATTGATATCTACATAGCATAACTTCCAAATTTAAGCATTAAAAGAAAAATCATAAAGGGCAAACCTTTTACACAATTTCAGACTGAGCATATTCAAAGGAATCTACTTGTCAAAAGATTCGCCATGCTTCAGGAGAAATTTTTTAGATTTCTAATCAATTTCTCGAATACCATAAGCAATAATCCTAAATTTCCTCCCAATAAATTGATGTCTTTATGAACAACCCCCTCTGCCACAATTCGTTTCATTAAAATAGCTGCGCTTTTTTCCAATCACTTTCACATACTATGATCTATAGTACTTAGTACTTTTTATATAATTTCTAAATACAAAAATTCTAATTTATTTTCAAATAAGGAATTAATATATAATGTGTTAACCTCGTACTCCAAATCCAGCCACCACCCACCCTCCCCCTCTTTTTTTTTTTGGTGACGGACGGGTTAGATACTAATTGATACAAAAGGAAAAAAAAATCAAGTAACTAACCCAGTGGGGAGATTGTCGACGTAGCTGATAAGCATCTTGAGTTTGCTGCCGCCCTCAGAGGCAAGGCCGGCGTGCATCTCCACCGTCATAGCGTCAGCCACCTGCTTCAGCTTGGCATCTGGTGTCCCACACTTCTCCTCGAATTCTTTCAGGATTGCCCTCGCACGTGCCCACTTGCTCGATTTCCGCATTCGGTGCCGGACGATGAGTGCCGCCACAGCTACCGTCACCGCCGCCCCCACCACCACCGCTCCCACCGTCGCCTTCTTCATCCCTTAATACTAAAGAAAAATGAGGGAAAAGGAGAATTAGAGATTACGGATATTTGTGAGCTTGTTGTTAGTTAGGAATAGGGATCAGATCAAGAGATGTTGAATACAGTTAATTAATTTAATTAATTAATTAATTAAAAGAGAGAAAAGGGGAAGCTTTTTTTATAAGGTGAGGGAGTGAGGGAAATTCGGCAGTGACAGATGCAGCAGAGCCACCCTTCTTCAGACATTTGGATTTCACTCTAACATCATCATTACGTATATATATAAGTATAAGAATTGTGGTACAATTCTACTTGCAATTTTATAAAATACTTTAATTGTACACTTTATTCCTTTTAAGTTGTAAATTTTATTGTAATAAAATTGGTGAGTCTATGTCTGTACTAAGACGAGAATTTTTTTATTGCTGTTGTGAAGTGTTATTCTAGAAAATATATATATTGACATAACATGAAAATTTGGCTCCAAAGAGTACTTGGTCATTATAGTAAAATATTGTTATAGACAATGATTGTTGTAGAGAGGTTTTACTGTCAAGGGTGGATTCGATTTAATAGCTACGGTTTCCGTGAACTTTTGTCTAGAACCTGTATTTGTATTGAAAAATGCATTAAATGTACAAGAATATTTAGCTTGGAACTCATTCCGTTCATCCAGTTAGTATTGTATATTAATTCAAGATTTTTGTAGGAACCCATAAACTTAAAATCCTGGATCGACCTCTATTTACTGTATTATGTTAAAGTGTTGAGTTCTTTAGAGTATGACCAAAATTTGATCGTGGATCTTTTTGTGTTGAAGGCATAGGAATATTGCATCACCTACCTACCCCAGTTTTAATATTTCTCACATTTTGCTTAACCGGGCATATTTTTCACATTTTAAATAAAATTGTGAGTTCAGACAACCTTTCTTTCTTTATTTATTTATTACTCAAAACAATGGCAGTACTATGTATAATGTCCATGTCACCGGATGAACTTTTTTTTCTTTCTTTTTGTGGGGCAATATGTTCTTCTCACGCACTTGACATTTTGAGCTAATCATACTTTGGTTTTGTAAGAAATTATGGCATTTAAAATAATTTTGAAAAAAAAATTGTTTGTTAGTTTTACTTGTTGACGTACTTTATAAAACATAGCTTTAGATCATTTTGCTTTTCGAAAAACAATATCCATTTCTGAAAATAAACTCCCTTGAATTTTGTGTAAAAAGGAAAGCTTTTTCTTAGAGCTTTTCTAATTTAAACCAAAATTAATTACCTTGACAAGTCAGTATGAGTCCAAAGATGATGATTTATGAAACTTCTACTTTTCACTTTAATCCAGAATTAAAAGAGCCTGCTAACGGTATAACTACCACATCATCAATGGACGACTTGGACCTTTTATTTTGACCACACACAAATATACTGAATCAATATATAGTTGACCTTTCATAAGCAACAGCAACATTCGCATGTTACATCCACTAAATATATTGATTCCAATTTTAGTCGTATACCTCACCTGATGCTAACATGTTTCTTACTCAAAAAGATTTAATAACTTAAATATAATTATGACCACCGCAGAAATGTTTTATTATTAATATAGTTCAATCTATTTTAGCATGTTACACTCTTATAATCTATTTGACCAAGGTTCTCCAAAGCCCAAAAAAAAATATTTTTTAAAGTTGAAGTGTTTGGCCAAGCTTCTAGAGAAAAAAAAAAGTATTTTTGAGTAAATCAGAAGTTGTTTTAAAAAAGCTAACAAAAAAGTAGCTTCTATTCAGAAGTACTTTTTTAAAAAGCACTTTTGAAAAAAATACACTTAAACGTATTTTTTAAAAGCTTGGTCAATGCTCATAAATATTTTTTAAATTAATTAGTCAAACACAACTTTCACGAAGCTTGGCCAAATAGAGTATATAGCATGAAAAAATCCTTGTAGCTATCTATTAACCTGATATACAAGTCGAAAAGAGGAAGGCATGAGACGAACTCGTTCTAATATTACGTGTGAAAATTAACACGCTGAGACTACGGTTAAGTTTTATTGAAACTATTATACGAGACAAGATCAGATATAGAAAACGTTTGATGTGAAAACAACTAATCCGTTATAAGATTGCGAAGATATCTTTCTTCTGTTATAAGAGGCAGTTAGTAACAAAATGACACAAGTCCAGGTAGAAATAAATGGATATAAAAAATCACATAGCCATGGGTCCATGACGGCTAGTTTGAAATTGAGGGAGTTGATTGATTGAATGAACATCTGAATACCAATTCCATCCAGAATGATTTAAAATTCAGATTTCTATCTCTAGTTTAAAACATTATAAGATTAAGTACCTCAACCTTTTAAAGTGATAACTTAAATTACCCTATTGCAATTTTAACAACAACAGTTCAATATATCCTGGAGATGTCAAATCCCAAGGCATATAATTTAAATACAGACACAAACACAGAAAGGAAACGGAGCAAGAAACGCAGAGACTGAAATGGTGTCATTAACTGTAATCGAGTATACAAAAACTATTTCAAGGAACAAATGTACTGTGAATCCCCCTTCTAGTAAACCCAGCACACCTAACCTTTCTCATAACCCGCCCCAACATAGCATAGCTTTCTACTCGTTAATTCCAGCAAAGCCATAAACCCCCACCCCCAAACGAAAAGAAAGATCAATTCGAACTGATGTAGGAAGATCAATCTTCTCCAGCACTGTCCCTAGTATTTTTACATAAACTGAACTGTACAGGAGTCCACAGGACTATTCTACCTGGAACTCTCCACCCAAGTATCAGGCTCACTCCCAATATTAGATATGCAAGCCTCCTGGAAAAAAAGAAGCATAGAGAAATGAAAGCCAGCAAGTAACATTATACTTACCCCGTTGAGCTGGCTTTTCATCCCTCGACTGGCATTGTTTCCAGCATGGACTTTCGCAAATGAAGCTCCACTTCTTTCAAGCTGTTGACGTAACACTGTACCTACAAGACAACCATATAAAAGCAACCAAAAACCAGTACGATAAAGACAAAGTCTGTTATTTAAAACTAAATGCAAATGAAATTTCAAAACATGAAACATGCCTTATAGAAGATTTCTGCGCAGGCTCTGATCCAATGCTATCCAGTGATGTTAACATTCCACGCGGAGCTCTTGGCTTCATGAAACGCAAAACAAAATGAAACTGGTTAAAGGTCAGAACCATGCAAATTGCAACAGTAGTGTCGAATCTAACTCATGGCAAAGGCATAAGAAAAAAGATTGAATGAACTATAAAAATCAATGACGTCAGAGAGATAAGAGGCAAAATAAACTTATGCAAAACCTCTAACTCCAGCAACGCATCTCCAAAAGATCTTGAACCATTTTCACATACATTATTTGATAGTGACTTGGACTCGGCCCTGTATAAGTCGCCCCGAGAGGAATAGAGAGAGATGCAACCAGTACTGCCCACTGGATGACCGTCATGGCTGAGTTGGAGCAATTCATGCGCAGGATCCTCACATGTACCAGCCTCAACCAGGTTTGTGACACCACTAGAACGGTGGACACATCCATCAGCGCTTTGAGCACATTGTGCTCCTTGTGACTTAATTGGTTCAGCGCAGGCATCTTTGTCCAGAATAGCAAACTGCATCTTATCACTGGGGAAATTATTTGAAATTTCATCACTCTTTCTCTTCCCTCCAGAAACTGTCGAGGAACACTGTTGTAAGAACATGCCACCTTTCTGACCAACAATAAGTTCAGGTGAGAGTGAATCCCTTCTTGGAGGGCTAACCGATGGTCTTTTGTCCTGACTCTGTTGCTTCTCTTCTGAACCTTCAAGCTCTTTTTTCCTTTTCAACCCTCTTTCTCCAGATCTTGACCTGCATATACTACCGTTGCAGGATGGTTTCTCTGCCAGCTGACCACTCATTACCCTTGCTATTTGGCTTCGCTTATAGCCATCTGGTAAAACATAAGAGGGAATCTGCTTTCTACGAACATGGGAGACCAACATTTCCATTCCCGGTTTCCAATACATATACATGTTTATTTGGTGTCTAAACTCATCAACTGTCCCACGAATATCAAACTGCTGGCCTTCTTGAACCAACTCGCCTGACCTCCTCTGCAGACCCATGAAGAAAGCGCGATGGGCACAATGTTTGGAGGGGTCCACATACTCATGGGGATAAGGATGACACTGCAACTTCCCATATGTGTCCCGCTCTATCTGCAAATATACAAAAAGAATTATAAATAGATGGGAAACCTTTGCTTCACTTACTACCTTCTCTTTTTTCCTTCTGTAGAGGCTCAAGTAAAGGAACCAAAGCCTCCTGAGCATCAGTTATCCAAAAAGTAATAGATGTTACCATCAACGTAAGCTGCCTTAACCGGGACTCGACCCATCCTCTCCACACAAGCAAGTCATCAGCATCAGCCGCAACTATGTCAATTTGCAAATAGTTCTTGTAGCTTTCAAAGAAAGGATACTGCTCAAACAGTGCAGTCCACTGAGCTTTATTCAGCTCAACTTCCTGATATGGTAAAGCAAAAAGAGGTAAAGCCAGTACTAGCTAAATACGACATAATTACAGAGGAGGGTTATCTATACCTGACAGATGTTGTTACCGAATTGAAATTGTTCTGTCATAACTCGAAGAGTACTTGCAGAGACATTGTAGCTTGAGTTCATGCAAGGATAGGCAGGTGTAATAATTGGCATCTGATGTGTACGGTCCCAAGGATTTTTTCTTGGATCCCAGACAGAGAATCCAAGTTCTTTATCCTCTATCTGACAAAGCATCACAGGATTTGGCCAGCGCCATTGAGTATATACACGAAAGAAACGAGAAACCAGCATACTCGGAACAGCATTTGGATAGAGTTGGCAAACCCGAGCAACCAGAAGAGCCCAGTTCACTCCACCAAGAAATCCAGTTACCTAAAAGAGATAATTCAGAACAGGAAAAATTAATGGGTCAAAGAAAGAACAAACATTAATAAGCCGGAGAGGAGGGAAAAGAAAAATGCAAACCTACATTTGAATAAACACCACGCTGCTTAGCCCAAAACTTTAAACACCGAAGTGTGGTCCGAAAAAACTGCATTGTAGAAGAAAAATGAGATATTACTACAGAATGTTCAAAATATTTTCTCTCCCTATTGTTTCCTATTTGGTTGGGGATCATCACCTCAATATTTGGAACAAGTTTAATGATTTTATCAGCCACCCTGCAGCCATTGAGGCTCCTTACAGTTGGTTCATCAACATTGCATAGCATGGATTCACTGGATATGTCCAAATCCTGTCCACAAGAAGATGTCGCAAGACAACATCAGGTATACTACTATTAGTGGTCTAAGATGACTAATGTCATAGCACGGATGTCAATTCAAATTTGAGAAAATAGAGCATTCACGTGTCCCCATCCTGTCAGGAACCCATGACTTGGTAAGCCCAAGGAATGGTCATAGGTATACCACGGACACATGAAATAAGAATGTATAAGTCCTCAGATCCAGACAGGGTTAAGCTGCTGCAGGTGAAAAGGATTAAGCACCCAGAATACAAGCAGAAATCAGGGCTTTTTACGAGAACAAATCTTTGTGCAGGCAAATTAACTTCTTCTAAAGCAAGGTTGGAGTACAGAAAAAGCCCCTCCCTTTTCTCGGAAAGATCAAAAGGAAATGGACGCTATCACAAAGAAATAACACTTACATCTGGTACAACCAAAAGAGAAATGCTTGCATAGAGAAGATCAATTGAGATCCCATCAAACTTAAACTTCATAACAGGGACATGTGCATCTGGAACTGGTTGCAGTTCAGTAACTTCTTCCCTCTTCGCCAAAATATTATGCAATACAAAGAAGAAGTCATCCTGGCAAACAATGTCAGCATTAGATGCTATATTAAATGACTAGTTGCTAAAGGACATCAGAAACTAAAACGACCTCTCGATTCACATAAGATGGTCCAACACATAAGGTGTCTATGTCAGCTCCAGGACCATGCACCTACAAAAAGGAATCTTATAATTAGTTAAGTAGCGCTGCTAAGGGAATGGTTCAAACATTATCCAGGAAAATGTAAAGCTTACAGGACATAATTGTAAATACATCCGTGTGTCGGGAATAGGTGCAGCTTCAAGAATACAAACAGCATCAACAACCCCCCCCCCCCCCAAAAAAAACTCTTTTCCCAAGGATGAAGTTTCAAATGTAAGGGACATCTAGATTATCATTTAACCATTGGTTAAAAAATTTAGGAAAAAGTTAATTCCTTCAACAAGCCTCAGAGAGGTGATTCCAGAGTCCATTGAGACTCCTCATAAGTCAAAATATCTCGAACAAATTACAAATGAAAAGCTCCCTTTAGAAGCATCTATCTCAATGAAAAGCAATAGGAAGGACAGTTGAGTACTAATCTGTTGGGTTGCAAATTGAGAATAGTAACAGAAGGGATAATTGTGTGAAACAAACAGTTTTGTAGTGAATTCTGAAGTCTGTAGAACAAGACATAATGCATGAGGTCCACTCAATTTAGGACCCACCAAACTATTGATGCCACACAAGCTTGTTTTTGGATATTTCCCTAGCCTTTGTGGGATATTAGCACCACTCTGACCACAAAACAGGAATTATTTAAGCCAGCATAGTTTCCTGCTTACAATTAATTTCACACCTTGCGGTTATAGTAACACTGAAACCCTTCCTAGTTGGTAATTGGCAAACAATTTCGCAACTATTTCTAGGTCTGTATTGAACTTATTCATCATGCATAGACAACCAAAACAATTAAGTTTATATTGTTCAAGGGAACTTCAGAAAAGAAGCTGCTTACCCCAAGGCGATAAGAACCAAAGGTTAAAATGACAGCATTTGCATCCTCAACCATCTGATCATTGTACCCTCTTAGTCGAGTAAGTTCTTTCACCCAATCCTTCACAATCTAAAGGAAAAGATTAAAAAGTGTCACAAGAGTGGATTGGGCCAAAATAGAAATGAACTATATGAAACACAAAGGAAAAGGGAAGGATAAAGCTTAGACTACTACTTCCGTTCTTCTTACAAGACATTGAGGGGTATACGCAAACATAATTTTGGCTTCCTTTATTAACCAAAAAAATTCAGTGAAAAATATTTACCAACGATCCTTACCTGCAACTTAAAAAAATGATTATATTATTGAAAAAAGAAACAATTACTCCTAGAACGACCTAACATGAATGATGGCATCCAGTTTTAATAATTTTCTTCATCAAGATCAGGGAAACAATCCAGGCACTAGTCGGAGAAGAGGAAAGCTTGGATCTATTTGAAGATAAGTTCCAGCAAATAAAACTGGAAATATTAGTGACCAGATATTAAACTTGCTTAGTAAGAAAAACAGTGGCATTTAATACATCAAATGTTACATCGAGCGCAGATTAGCAACTAATATATTAGTGCTGAAACAGAGACTAATAAATCCAAACAAGGGAAAACAAGGAAGCATCAAGTGTATGGTCAACAATTAATAAATGCTGCCATGCAGGTGAAAGGGGAAAAGCAATATTATCTGTTTCACTAAGTTTAGGGAGATAAATCTTTTCTACTAAAAAGCAAAGCAACTGATCAATTCTCTATCAGCTGAAAATTCAAATGACCATCCAATATTTACCAATCCAAAGCGCATCCAATCACCATTCACAGCCTACCCAAGCCAAGTTCATAAGTTACTAAAGACATGATTTTTCTTACTGCTCCTCACTACACATGCACCAGACATAATGTACTAGAATGCCTGAATGTCAAAATCACGTAGAGTCCACAACCCTTAATGTGCCGGACGACAACTACAAATTGATCCCAAACTAGTTAAATTGGCTATATGAATTCTCAATATCCGCTATGCTCCATTTGGACACTTTCCATTTCAATACTCAAAATTTTCTCTTTTAAGAGAAATTAGAGGTTCTCTAAATCCTAATGTCCTACGAACACTTAAAATTAAATATTATTGAAAGTCCACCGCCCAAGTCCTTAACCATCAACCTAAGCCATAAAAGGATCTATCCTAAGTTCTTCATAATCAAGGCCTCAAGTCTGAACCAGCACACCTATATCTAGACATCACAAAGGATATAGAGTATAGGCTAATAAGATACAGTTGACTAGGGCCAATCGACACGCTCAATCCTAAATTAGTTTCTTCCTAATAATTTAGTTGGGTAATCACCAATACACAAATGATAAAAGAGGGAGCACGGGATTACCTGCTTAAGCTGGCGGAGAACTAGTTCTCTCTTAGCAGCCTCCTCAGCGCTTTCATATAATCCAGCACCGACCAAAAACTAGAATCCACAAAACCAACACGTCAAAATACACAAACTAGAGCAGAAAAAAACAACATAGTAAATCAAAAGGAAGCTTAAAGAACAAACCTTTTCCAACTCTTTGGTACGCTGAATATCAGCCTCCGTAGGCCCAGCTAGAGACAAAGGTTTCGTCACCCCATACTGCTTTGGCGGTGGCAAAGTAGTAGCACAATCGGAAACCCCCATCGTTAAACCAAAAATCTTGTTCTAGTAGTTCAATATAAGCACCAAATAGAAACGGATCGGAAATTCGAAATCAAAACTATTATAGAGGCAAAATTCCAATTAAGAGGAGACCTAAAAGGTAACGCTTTTTTTACTTGTAAATACTCAAATTTTAAATAAAAAAACCCTAGATCTAGAACATGAAAAAGAAGAAGAAGAAACTAGAGGAGAAGGGTTTGTTGCTGTGGGGCTATAAAGGGAAGGGTCGGTGGAAGTTGTAGCGCTTGTGGAATGAGGAAAGAGCGCACGTTCACATTCCAAGTTGGGTTAGGAGATATGGAGGATATTGAAGAAGAACATTTTAATATTTTTATTTTTGAGAAAGAAAAGGTGGCTTAAGTCGCGTTTGATATTTTTGGAGATTTTTTGCCAGTTGTCAACTTGGTTAGTGCCTCGTGGCAAATTTTGAAATCTTATTACTCCATTTGTTTACTTGTTTGAATTTGAAAATATGGAAGTATTTTAATGTTTTTCTTTTTTTAGGTCATTTTATTAATTAAATGTCGAGATCTTATTACTCTTATCTTTTTCTAAAAGTAACATCTTTAAGGGATGAAAAAATATTATACTTTTTGTTCTTGTTTTAGTTTGACAGTAGAAAAATGAAGGAATTTGAAGGAAACAAATTTTCCTATTGGGCAGAACAAACAATATTTTGTCACTTTCGTTCTTCTTCCTTTGCGTTTAATACTAATTGTTTGGCTAAGCTTCTAAAATCTGCTTATTATGAGAAGTGTTTTTCTCTCAAAGTTATTTTTTTCAGAAGTATTTTTGGTGCAATCTTCTAAAATCAGCTTATTTTGAAAAGTATTTTTTCTAAAAGTTTTTTTAAGAAAAATACTTTTGGTGAAAAGCAATTTGAATTTGGCTAATCAATTTGAAAAGCACTTTTGAGTAGCAATTAGTTATTGGCCAAATTTTTAAAAACGGCTTCTAAGTGTATTTTTTCAAAAATCATTTTTTTAAAAGTACTTTTCGGGAAAAGTTATTTTTTCAGCTTCTCCAAAATTACTTCTGCTTCTACTCGAAAGTTCCTTTTTTTTTCTTTGGCCAAATACTTTAACTTTAAAAGAAAAAAAATATTTAGAAAGTTGGCCAAACTAGCTATAAGACAGCTACCATTTTAACTTAAATAGTTAAATGCAATCTTTGAATCAATTTTCCAAAGGTAATTCTCAAGACAGCTTTTCATTTATTAGTCTCCGAACCACATATTCCGTTATGAGTATTACTTAAGAAAAAAAACAAAACAGAAAAAATCAAGAAAATTTTAACTCCTGTAACAAAGGTGTACACCTATTTATTATAAACCGAAATTATTTTAAAATATTATTTTTTATAGTTACCTTTTATATTTTGTAGCAAAATAAGTATTTATGGTATATACTACCATTGAGACATGAAATACGCTATTTATGTTTTTTTCCTCTCTCTTTCTTTCAATTAACACACGATTCTCTCTCATAATTTTCATTCTTTCTCTCTCTCTCCGAGCAAAATAGGCCGAAATCATATATACAGGAAAAAGAAACAAATCATGAAAGAAAGCCTAAAAATCTCAAAATCAAAAACATGAAAGTAAACCTATAATAAAAAAAAGGAACCAGAAATACCTTGGGCGACAGAGAGATTGAAGAGAAAGAGGGATTCTTAGCGCGGTAAGTAAGAGGGAAAAGAAGAAGAAGCAGTCGAATTGGAAGCGTGGCCTTCGTTGCCCTTGAATTCCGTTCCCTAGTTCAATCCGGAACTCCAGATGTGTAAGTAGCGGCCAAGCGGCTCTGTCCTTTTCAAAGAGGGGCATTCCATCCAGCGTAAGCATCTGGATAATCTGGAAAGCGACGTGGCATACCCGAAAGCCCTAAGAAATGCATAGGAAAGAAGGTCATATTAACCCCGAAAAAAGTGATCCAAAAATAGATTTGACCTAAAGTTTCAGGGTATGTCCGACCAAAGATTTGCCCTGGGCGACACACGTGCTACAATGGCCGGGACAAAGGGTCGCGATCCCACGAGGGTGAGCTAACCCCAAAAACCCGTCCTCAGTTCGGATTGCAGGCTGCGATGATTGTTGACTCAACATTGATTTCGTGCTTGAGTTGGAGGGCTCTCCCTCCATCCATCGAGTCAACTAATTCGCTATCGGAAATTGATCCGCTCTCATGCCATGCTTCTTCTTTCTTCGAATCGGTTCCTAGTGTCCTGATGTCAGCTTCTACGGCATAAGCTTTAGATCTATCAACGAATAATAAACATTTCATAAGAAAAGAAATTTTTTTTGTTTAAATCTCAAAGAAAGGTATAGGTGAAGTTTGGAACCAACGGAGCACTGTCGGGTCGATAGCCCTTGATCCGAGATCTCTTTTTAACAAAAAAGAGTTGGATTTGCCAGCCTTAGCCGAAGAAGACTGTTCGTATAGTAGTAGGTTTGAGAACCGGTTCTAACCAACCTTCTGTGAACTTTTCTTCTCTTACGATTTTTGCTACTTTCTTTTTGATAGTATTGGTCTCGTTTAGAGTATCAAGCCCCGCGGGCCCCTCTCTGATAAGGAAGGAAACGAAATAATCTCAATTTTACGACAAATCCGGTCCGATTGCTGTTCCCCGCCCCCAACTACGGGGGAAGTCACACTTTAACTTCCTGCCTTGACCTAGGCCTCACATCGATCGTTCTGTCCACTGAACTCATCAATCAACCTTGACCTTGTAAATTGTAATGGAAGAGGTAGTGAAGCGATACAAGGAGTCTTGGCCGGAAAACGCCATCTCCGACAAACTTTCTTCTCTTATTTGCTATTTAGTCACATACGATGATACAAATATATTGTATGTTGTACAAATTCACTCAAACACATTGTATTTTTGTATAATACATATTTTTTTCCTGTGTTTATATATTTTGAAGGTCCGTATTTTTTTAATACACCTGTATTCATGCATACTTGCATGAATACAGGATATAAATATTGCAATACACTGAATACAAATATTAAAATAGGATAGAATATAAACAGTGAATACACTTAATTTTAAAATACAGTAAAATACACTTAATACAAATAGAAATGCAGTGAATACAACCAATGAAATATATTGAATACAGTAGTAATAACATATATTAGGAATAACTAAAATACTATTAATACAAATACATTTGAATATATTGAATATAAAATAGCGAATACAGTAAATATAAACATTGAATCTAATGAATGCAACAGTAAAAAAAAAAAATGTTGAAACACACTAAATACAAAAGTTATATACAAATGAAAAATCATTCTAATTAATTTGATTGATAACGAGGCATGTTAGAATTGATTTTGTTGAGTTATATTAGTAGTGTATCACGCTAATTGATATTATTTCCGTTATTAGACAGTTGGATATTCCTATTTTTAAGGTGATTGTTGTTACTATATTCATGAATACATGACGTGAATACATGTGAATACATATGCGTACAGTTGGACTGTCCTGATTTTAGGCATTTTTTGCTGTTGTATTCATGAATACAACAGCGCGAATACCGCGAATATACTATCGTAACAACTGAATAGTAGCTATAGGAAGTAATTATATATATGGTAGCTATAGGAAGTTCCACTAAACAATAGTGGTTTCTAAAAATTCCTCAAGAATCAATTTGTTAGAATAACTTAGTAACCGATAACATATTAACATTTGGTTATAATCTCATAAGGTAAAAAATAATAAGAAAATCAAAATAGCAAGAACAAGTAATCCAAAAACTGTTTACGCTGCTTGTTTGGATGATTGCTATCTCGTTTCATATTATATTGTATTGCATGGAATAATATCATACTGCATTATTTTTATGGAGTACCGTTTGCCATTATTTCATAATGTTACACACTAGAAAAATTTTAGTATTACAAAAAAAATAAAAATAAAAGGTAGGGTACATGGTAGAATTAATATATAAAAGGATAGATATTAAAATAAATTATTAAATAATAAAAAGGGGCAAAATGAGAGAAATAAACAAGGTAACGATGCCATTATACCAAAGGAAATTTTCGCCAAGATTATCAAAATAGATCCAAAGGTGTCTCTCCTTCCATCAGTTTTAGGGATAAACAGTTATATACTCCTAGGTTTTTAATGCTGTAAAATCAAATTCCTACTCCAAGTCCAATATTCTCTATAATATCAAACTTAGGACCCGTTTGGCCATGAGTTTTGCCAAAATAAATTTGGGATTTATTTTTAAAACTCATGTCTGGCCATAAAATTTTGTCCACATTTTGGCAAAATCCCAAATCCCAAACCCCAAATCTCAATTTTAAATAATGAACAGCTTCCCACTTTTATCCCAAGCAATGCCTTTTTATCATTTCAATTATCAATCCTCCTCTACTTTTTTTTTTGTATTATGATATTTAATAATTAATTTTTACATAATAAATTCAAATGATTTATAGTGTGAATCAAAAAAATTGATTTCGAATTATTTTAAAATATGAAGATACAGAGAGTATTTTATGAAATTGTTATAAAACCTAGTTAACTGCATTATGCATTTGAGTTTTCCTCCCCCTTTCTATGTTTTAAGTTCAAATTTGAAGATGAATTCGTTTTTCAGTTCTGATTGACACCAATAAAATTACTTTAAAATATGTTCATAGTCAACAATTTAATTCAGGAAAATTCAAATTAGATAATCTATCTTACTCAAATACTCGATACATGTAATAATAATTTAATAACTAATTAAACTAGCGGTAGATTGTAATAAATTTAGAATAGCTTCTCCATTTTAAACTTTGGTAAAAATGTTGCAATAGGATCTTCCACATCCCTTTTCTGGAGCTGCTCCCTGTCGTGGGACACTTATGGAGCTGATTCAGAAGAACTGTTCTTCTCGGTTTCCAATTAGCTGATATTTGTACTTCTTTTTTCAAATTTGAACTATTATGTTATTGACCAACATTACTTAGATTTTTTTTTTCAAAAAAAAAAAAAAAAAAAAACCCACCATCAGTGGGGGGTTTAGGTCTTTTCCCCGACCTGTATATTATCAAAAATAACTATTACACGGAAGAGGACATAAACCTTAGCCTCCATAGCATGATAAAGAATGATAACTTTCATTCTTATAAACATTTGAGCACAAAATGCATGACTAAACTGGGAGGGTTCCTTTTGTACATTTTATAAGCTAGAAACAACATAAAAAGATGCTATGTACACAGCAAGTAGGATTATACAAGATCCCCATCCAATCTAGTGGTAGCATCATTAAAAACAAAATGATTCTTCC